TATATATATATATATAGATAGATATATAGATATAAAAAATAGGCTCATCAAAATCCAACTGAATTAATGCTAATTAACAGTATCACAGAGGAATCCATGAAAACATTCACATTTCTAGAGCTAGACTTAAAGCCCACAGAAGACAGCTATATTTTTGAGTCAAAAATGAAATCAATCACTTTAAATATAAAACATAGGTATTACAGGTATTTTATTAAACACTATTTCTAGGATTATATAGGCACAATTTTGAAGATGTTTTTGTAACCCTATTCTCTCTATGTCCAAGATGTTATATTGTAAAATAGCACTTGTACTAAAGATGCTGATTGGCTAAGGTGCATGTACACTCTGCACAAATTCCATACACTGCAAATTACAAAGCTCTTATAAATAAATAGTTTATTTTTGATGATGCTTTGAACTTCCCCTTTCCAAAAATAAGAGTTAATTTAAAAAATAAAATAAATTAGTATGGATCCCATGCATGCAAATAAGCAATATTTATATAAGGGACAATTAACATACCTGATTCCTGCATTAGCAGTGCCGAGTTGAATAATGACTGTTTATGTGTTGGGTTGAGTTCCAGTGCTCGGTTGAAATTCTTCAAGGCCTCTGTTGGATCTTTCAGATCAATGTAAACAATTGCCAAGTTGTACCACAGGTCTGCATTGGTTTCGTCTAGTTCTAGAGCTCTAAGGTAAGCCTCCTTAGCTTTCAGAGGTTTGTTCATTTTTAAAAGCAATTCTCCCCTGTTGAAGAACAAGATTTAACCTTCAACTTTTAGTTACACCCATATGAAAATAACTGACAGGTTTTTTAGAAGTTTGCCTTCATATAGATAATAGATGTGAGATAATGGAGGGGGTTTTTTGCTTGTTTTTAACACAAAACAATACAAGACTCCCTTTACATACCATTCCCAGCTCCCAAACGCCTGTACAGAACAAACATAAGAAGGACAAACTAAAAAAAAAGAAATGATCAAGGGTTCCTAATATTGGCTCTGTAATTACACTACAACAGCTATAATCTGGGCATCTTTGCACCTTCCTAAATCGCAATGGGAATCACAACAAACAAAATAGTGAACAGAAGCCTTAATACCCACAACCATCTTATTCTAATCTATTTAATTGATACTAATGTGCTTTTTAGTTAAAGCTCGCACTTCCTGGACCATCTTTAGCAAAGAAGTACAAAGAAAGCTCCATGATTCAGAGTAAACAAAAGCTTTTTGGTTCAAAACTAAACTAAGAGATTAGAAATTTGAGTTAGAGATGCATAAAGAAAACTAATGGAAGCATCTTGCTATACAATGTTTGAATCCAAAACATATGTGGAAACGTATCATTTGAAGCACGAAATCAAAAAAACAGGGCTTGTAATGAATAATTGATTCTTGTCCCAAATCTTCATCTTCTCATTTGAAAATGAAGCAATTCCAGCAGCTAATTCAACTGTATGAACTAAACACTATTCACAGCACAGTAAATACTGAAATGTTTATTCAAGAACATGCATCTCTAAAATTAGAAAACACACCTGCTGATGTAAGCTTGCTTGAAATCCGGCCTCATACTAATTGCCTGTCGATACAATTGATCTGCTTCTTCAAGGCGAGACTCGTTTGCTCGAATCAAGTTTGCGAGATTGATATAAACATTCAGATGGTTAGGAGCAACTCTTGCTGCGTACTTTTTACCTGGAATAATCTGTCAAAAGGAATATATGTACCCAACACGGATGAGCAAAAATATGAAAGATGAACAAGTATACATCTCCTCCTCAATCTGTCACATCTGGTTTAGGGTATTACTGTACATTACTCTGAAAGCTTTTAATGATTACAAATAGCAATTCTACTTTCCTAGAAAATCATATCCAAACAAAACCAGAATGTTCTGTAATCTTTAATTCTATGAAGACATAGATGAATTATATCATATTTAAGATATCAGTTAATTAAGCTCTGTTACTACCTTACTGGGCTCATGCAGGTAGCCATTAGAAACAAAGAGACCTGGCAAAACTTTCTCCATTCAGACAAAAATATTTCCTAAAGCCTAAACTGACATTCGATCAGACATTTTCATTACTTTTTCTAACTCTCCAGCCTAAGATAAGCGTAAATAAGATTTTACCAGCCACTGTCAGCAAATGTAAAGCAGTTAGGAAAACTCGGAATGATGTTGCAACTGTTGTATTGTTTATAATTTACCCATTTAGAATCTTCATACTGTTTCACAGTAATAATTTTGTAATGCCACACTTCTGCTCAAGGCAATGCTCATTTCTGTCGCCAGTCTCATTTTACCCACAGCTTTTGTTACCTTTATACATTTTCCAAATATCCTCTTTTCTCCAAAAGAGCTAGAACAAGTAACATTTTCTATGTATAACTTAACAAACAATAAAGGTAACAAAGCACATGTTTATAAAAGCATGTTCAGGCAAAGATTTTTTGTTGCTTCTGTGGCTACCTTCTTTCACTTCCAATGCTGTATTTAAGCCTTCTCTTGAGGGCTCAGAAACTCAGACATCATGAATGTATTAGCTGTAAGTGAAAATAAACCCATTGTGACTAGAAACTGTACGTGTACATTTTTAACTGCTTTCTTTTATATCCTCAATTTCAGAATAAACCCACAACAGCAGTACAAAAAGTAAATTAAAACAGTTTCAACAGAGTTCCAAGTTAGCAGTTTTTTAACAGCCATGATTGTATACAGCCTGTTCTTTTAATAGACAGGTTTTAAAAAGCCTCTAACTATTTAAAGTATACAGCAACACTACAGGAGAAATACAAAAATATATCATTAATATAGGAAGTTCTCTCCTGTGGTGGTAGATAAAATAAAATTACTAATTACCTGTGGCATCAATGATTTAGCAATCAGGTATGATTCTTCAGCTTCTTTAGTTTTGTTTAAGTTTTTGTAAGTTCTTCCTACATTCATGTGGGCACCAATATCATCTTAATAAAGAAAAGAATGAAATATTTTAAATTTCCATGCACTGAGTATTCTGAAAATAAACACCTATGCCTTCAGAGTACCATGAAGTACAGGTATGCCATGTAGAACACCACCATCACCAAAAAAAAGCCATTCTATATAATTCTTCCATCTTAATTATGAAACTAATAATTTAACCATGAACTAAAGAGGAATTATAAAGTCACTTGGGAAATTGTAAAAAGTTTGAGGTCATACTTCCATGTATCTATGCTTAATTTCTTGCCACAGTAGAGACACATAAATTGAAGGTTATTAGGCTTCTAAAAGGAGAAAGGAAAGTACAACCCAGAAGTTCTTTTGCAACAATATGTAAAATAGATTAAATGTGCACTTGGTTATTATTTAGATTTTTTTAATTTTCTTACATATGACATTAGCTTTAAATAAGAAAATTAAATAATGTTCCGTAAGAATAAAATAAACCTTTTCTGGAGGAACTTTTTAGTTTATTTCTAAAAACTATGGATCAATTAACTTCCTCTGTGCAATTATTTAATGTTCAGTTGAAGAAAAACAGACCAATGATAAGATGTTGTTAACTAAGCTAAGCACATTGAAATACTAGGAGTGTAGAGATGCCATACAATGGCAACTAGTCAAGGCTTTTACCTGGTTGCACTTGAGTGGCTCGTATGAAAAACTGCAGAGCTCTTTCAAAATTCTTTTCATTCTCTAATGCATGCCCCACATTGTTCCACAGTTTTGCATTGTTCCTATTTACCTAAAACCAGAAAAAAAGATAGAAATACATAAGATATTAAGCTGAAATTACATAACAACAGATTTTCTCTTAACTATATCCTAAAGACACAGAAGTGCACAGCAAATGACAGATTTCATCATGCTTCGATACGTAAAGAATTAAACTGCATACAGAACGGTCACATTCAACTTGTTGCTGAACATCCATTTATATTTATTTACCCCTAGAAATACCAAACATCTTAAAATCAATTGTAATTGTTATGGGCTATTTTACAAAGAAAAGATTGTTCTATGCATTGAGCTTTTTGTAGTTTCTGCACTGAAACATATCTTGCTCTCATCCAGACAAGAGAACACATTCAACTGCTTTAACATAAGAAGAATCATCAAGTATTTCTTGCACATGAATTCCCATGTGTGCATTACACTGCTTTTAAAGTATTCCCAAAAGCAACTAATTAGATGCCAATACTGTCAATAGAGAAATAAATGTGCCAAAACAAGCATCATTTTTGTCCATTTTCATCACGGTCTACTGCAGCTTTTTAAGGACAGCAACACAAACTTTCCATTATCCTTTCCAAATAGAATACAGTACCTTTAAAGCTGACATAAACAACGTGTACTCCGACTCCCAATCCCAGTTTCTGTGCAGTGTTTTTAAGGCATGAGTAAATAGTACTGCAGCCAAACAAATCCAAGAAATTTTTCTTAGCACACTATTAAATAAAACAAAGATTTGGTGTAAACACACAAATAATTCTGACTTTTATTACAATAAGTATCTCATATGCTAAGAGGCAAACAAACCAAGGACATTTGTGAATGGCACACTCAAAGCTTGAAAGGAAATAATGCCCAATTTCAAATTAATTTTGGTTTATCCCTGATTTTCTAATCACTCTGTAATTCCCTTAAGAATAAATGTAATTCACGTAACAAAATGCAAACAAAAACATGCAAAAATTTTAACTATTAAAACTTATCTGTAATTTAAGACAATGAACATGATGCCAAACATGCTGATCACTTGGTGAATTCTAACACTCAGCAGCCTTCCCACAATTTTGAGTATCATTTTGTTTTAAAATAATCTTATTCTTGAGTGGACATATGACTGTTCACCATTAACAACTATTTCTTATACTTGCCTTATGCAACAGTTGTTCATATCACTAAGTACTTCACAGGGGTTTGTTAGAAACAGAAAGGTTTTTTTCCCCTCCACTTTAAAGATACATAAAATGCTCTATAGACTTAGACTACTATGCCTAACTTTAAAAATACTACAAAACAAACAGTGCATCTGAAAGATTGAGAGAATTTCTAAAATACTAGCAAAGTGACCACAGAGAATCGGCATACCGGCATATACAGTAATCTGTATGCTCATCAGGCTTATAAGTTATTTTTTTCTTTCCACATATTTCTAAAGCAAGGAGCCTTCTCTCCCTCCTCAGACTTTTTAGACTGTTAATTCCCAGTAGTTAATTTTGTAGCAAATGACAGTGAGCTTAAACTTTCTCCCCAGCCACCCTCTCCCGGTTCCTTCCTTTCTTTCACATCGCTTCTATTTTTACTGCCTCGTAGTGGGATTTGTGAGAATACTTTCTCCATGTTCTCACAAGGTATCACTAATTTCTCATTACCCAGGTGCTGTCAGCTTTGGCAGCACCAGTTAGCCTAAGCCATACTGCAAGGCCTCAGCTCTAGTGGCAGCAGATAATGGACTTCGAATTGCTGCCTTTCCATTTCTCTGAACTAGCATCAGGCAGGTCAGTGGGAGGTATGTGTAGAGCAATGTAGAAGACATCAGAAAAAACAAAGTTGCATGCAAAATCATGCTTTTAGAGCAGAATTCCCTAAGGAGAAATTGTTATTCAGTGAATTATTTAGTTTAACAAATACTGCAAGGCTCTGATGTCCATTTCCAGCACGGCATATCTGAAAATGTAATTAGTAGAAGATACTTTAATATGCTGATACATATGCATTATATAAACTTCAGTCAGTAATCTCCTTCGAATAGAGTATAAACCAAACCTGGCCAAGCAATATTTTTTGTTTAATCCTAAAAAAATGCATAGGAGTTAAACGGAAAATATTTGTGTTTCTTTACAGAAAAGAGACAAGTTATGCTACTAGAATCATAGGGAAAGTCGATTTTTGCAGCAATGTGTAATATAAATTACACCGCATTCTAAAAATGGTCTGGTGCAGCCTGAGGCTTTTTCTGTGTATATATGTATGGTCATATATTTAACCATAAAAGAAAAAATATATACATGTCTGTGTATACATGTGTGTGTCTATAGATATATATTTATATATTTTAAATAAATGTTGTAATACCATCAGGATAATCCACTGGTCCCCCAAGAATTTCCTTGTAACTCATTCACATGACTGCACAGTGATTTCTTGGTCATTACACTGTGGTCATTAAGAACTTGAAACAGAGTAAGACCTATAATGTAATAAACTCATACTGGTAAAAGCACTAATCATAGAACCACAGAATGTTAAGGGTTGAAACAGACCTTAAAGAACATCTAGTCCCAATGCTTCTTGCCATAGGAAAGCTTGCAGTTATAAACATGGTTATCTTTTATCAAAGTAAGAGATGAGTCAAACAAGTTTTAGGTAACACTACCTTACCTTTTACTTGTTAATTTCTTCCATCCATGTGCTACTAAAATGCAGAATCCCATGCTAGGAACATACAACACTCGTTCTGCTACTACGAATCCCACAGGAAAAAACAGGTTTGATGCAGGAATGAATGGTAGCACTATTAAGCAGAGTGCCTAGAAAAGAAATGCAAATGACATCAGCGATCAAGAATAGGCAGTGACAAACTCTTCCCAAGAAGCAAATTGAAAAAAAAAAAAAAAAAATAATCTCAGAAAACCAGACATACATAGTAGATATTTGGCTACTTTTTTTCTTTTAAACATTAAGATCTGTTTTACATTGAGACCACCCTGAATAAGGCAAGCAGTAACCTGCAAATGAGATTGTTCCTTACTTAAGGGCGTACAAGTATATTTACTTTTCTATGATACAGATAAGAGCAGCTGTATGACAAATCACTAGGCTTTTCTAGTGAATCACTAGACCATTTTTACAGATTTCCTAGTGAACAAATTGCCTCACTCCAGTGACAAGAAAAAACACGAGTAAGAACTATAATGTTAGCTCTCTGAAACAAATCAAAATTTGTCAGCTGCCTAGCAAAGAAATCTTTAGTCTTAAGTTATGCTTAAATATTCCCATCATCTGAAATTTTTTAAATATGTTAATTGGCATATTTATTCTCATCTCTGACAGTCACATACTTAATTGCAATTTAGCAGTTTTGTTGCCAACTGACTTTCCTCTTTTCTTATGTGTTAATTCTAGCCCAGAAGGAGATGCATGTAGTATTTCCAGATCCCAGCAGATTAGACATGCGACCATACAACCTGAGCCACTTACACTCTTAAGAAAAAGGACACAACTAATGCATCATTCATACCATCAGCACTGTCTTGGAGGAATCCCCAGGGTATCGGAGACTGAAGACAATCAAAGATCCCAGAAAGCAAAAGAAGGTAAGGGTGGCAACATTTCTAACATCTAACAAAGACTCCACGAGAGGAATAGTGCCCATTGTCCAGTCACAGCATAAATCTGAGGGGTTGAGAAGAAGCCAAGCATTTACAGGGAGGAGGTAGTTGAATGTCAGCTGTCTTGCTGGGGATGGGCTAACAGCAGCTGGGTTATCGAACCTAAAGCAAAAGAAAGGAGAAAAAGGAGCTTTCAATGAAAAATGATATGGTCTTGATGCACTTTGTGGGAAATTTTAGATGCATAGTTAGAACGACCAATTACAGACATGAACTATATCCTAATCTTCCTGCATTTGTCAGGTGTGTAACTCTGGAACCATGCCCAATGACTCACTGCAGAGTGGGGCAGAGCTTCCTCCAGGTTTATCAAACTGGTTTGTGATATAATCCACTTCACACTTAAAGTTGAGTTCAGTGGTTTTTTTCAAATTTTTAATAGTTTGTCTCATTTTTTTTCACGGAAAGTAACAGATTCTTGCATTTCTACATTGCACAAACTTAAGATGTATTAGTTTTTCAGTTCTAATATCATTCACATACGCTTATTTTCAAGCAGTCTACCTGAAGACAACCATGTTTTCTGCATAGTACATACCTAAAATGGAAAAGATAAGTTGTATGTAGAAGAGGAAAAAACTTACAGGTCTGGAGTATTCAGCCAAGGTTCAAATGCATGGCCAATGAAAAATAATTAAGCAGTAAGACATTTAAATTTTGAATTACTAAGGTGAACTAACAAAACTAACGAACTAACAACCCTAAGTTTGTAAAAATGGCAGCCTGTTCAGATACCTCAATATTTGGACATTCTTGTCAACAGGTGCTGAAATATATCACTTATCAATTTCACACAAAATATAATATTGTACAGACACTGCTTACCAATATCAAAATAAGTTAATAAACATTTAAGATGCTGTATTTTTGGCCATTTCATTCAGACCTCATTAAATTACATCTCCTTTATCAGCACCTGTAAATAAGAGACACTTGACTATTACCTTGTAAACACTGGAAGTTGAGACTGGATAACCTGGACTCTGAAAACTACAAGCAGCAGTGTACTGAACATTAGGACTATGAGCTTCAACAGTGTCTGAAGCACAGAGAAAGGAACATCGTCCTTCCCTCGAACAATCTGTACAGCTGTGTCCAACAATGTTGGCAAGGTGTACTGCAAAGGAGAAAGGTGTTTAGAATCAGACAGTGGACTCATAACTCCCTTAGATAAACATGAGCTACCACCTAACACCTTTTTTCCCTTGGTTTTCTCCAAGTGCCTGCTCCCAATAGTTACTTCACTCAGCTTTCATGACAAGTCCCCAGAACTCCACCATTCTAATACATTCTATTCCAGTATATCTGTTAACACTATCACAGTTGAACCTGTATGCCTGTAGTTCTGTATTTTGCACTGACAGATCAAAAAATTTTATCATCTTCAGAGACTTCAATAAAGCATGCATAACCATGAAATAAAGTTTCAAGAAGAGAAATTACTATTCCTAGTATTATCAGCCCCTCTGAAAACTTGTCCTATAAACAAAATTGCTCAGGAATGGTAGAAATACCATTCACTTCCTGATTAGCCCTGGCTTTCTATTTTATGCCTCTTCTGCAGCAACCCATCTCTTCCTGCCTCATGAACATTATAATCTTGCACAGTTCCCCATAACCTAATTTCTTCCCTGTGTACCTCATTCCATATGTCTTCACGATGTCTGCTGGAGTGCTTTACTGCTTAACGTGTCCTGATTGGCTAACTACAGAAACTGACAGGGTTTTGAGAACTGATCAGTCTCTTAGTTCATTCTATACCTGTGCTCTCAGAAGAAGCCTCAGTTTGGATTTTATTCTTCCTGCTCAGCTGAGTTACAAAAACTTGTTATGCTTGCATGAAACTGACAATCAGATCAAATATTATTAAAAGCAAGAAAGAGTGGATTAAAAAGCACAATCACATACTGGTGATTTCCTTACAAATCCAGTTTGAAAATTATATGCTTGTTCACCGGACTTGCAAAGGCAATAGTTACAAACCAATCTATGTGCTTTTGTTATTTTGGCCTTGAATATGTATTCCCAAGACAGGCAATCTTTTGGCTTTTACTGGTGCATTCTTTGCAAAGTATTCCTTCAAGTAATTAAGGAATAGTAAACTAGAAAATTTTCTTAAAATATGCAATCATACGTTTTTAAATTGCAATTGTTTTGACTATTAAAAACCTAGAATTACTTAATTACAGGAACATCCTGTTTCTCTAAGCAAAAATTACTCTTTAAATTAAGGGCTTATCAATGCTTAAAACGAAACCTATCAGATTAGAAATGAAATTTAAAGGCAATCTTAGAACAAATTTCACAAGAATATTACTTATTCAAATAAGACTACTCCAAAATGTCTGGTTATTCATAAGAAGGCGACGAAATGCACTTGTGTACAGTATGTTCTTTTACTACAAAAATTAAAACCAAATAATCCTCTATCCTTATGCAGCTCAGACTTTAATCAAGACTGTTACATGTCAGTATTTGCACATCTCAGTCAACTAAAACCTTACGTTTCCACTAAGACCTCTCAAGACTTTATTGAGTATATTTGCTAACACCTCTGTATGGCATGTAAAGGAAAACGTGGAAGCCATGATTCCCTCACCATGAACTACTTATGTCAAACATTAACTGACTCAAAAAAATCTGAAAAATGTAACAGAACTATTGAGTCAGCCTGAACTGAGACAAATTAGTGCTGAAATACGATGCTTCAAAGTACTTAATGTCTCACAGCAGAATTCCAAAGAAGTGATCGAATTTATTTTTCAAGAGCTTACCCCTTGAGCAATAAATACTTCATACACACAGCATATCCCCACCACTGTTATTCCTTGTTCTTTACACAGTGTTGCAACAGCTACTAGAAACACAGTCACTGCAATTGGAGTCCACACTGCAAATAAAGAAGACATTATTGAAAATGTTGCACCTTACAAAACCCACAAACATTTAATAAAGCAAATTAACCTAAAAAGTGAAGACTTCTGCTCTTCACGTCTGAATATGTTGTGCTTTATAAATTTGTTCAGCACATCATTTCTTATTAAAGGAGAGATTACTGGTTTTACTCTACAGAAATATATATCTATCAATTCTAAAACTGCCTCCCTTAAATTCAAAGAACTAAAGCAAAGATAAAAGACTCATCTGTGGTAAGGAAAACAAAAATTCCTTCTTTTCTAATATACCAGAACACTTTTTCCAATAGAATATTTTACAGGGACAATCTTTCCTAATTCACCAGAACACTTTTTCCAATAGAGTACTTTATAGGGAGTCATGAATTTTCACAAGGTCTATTCGACACCAGGAAAGAGGCAATCCTCCCTCAGCTGCTCTGAAACTGTGCAGCTTACTTCTGACTGACCATCTGAGACCTCAGCACACTTCCAGTTACCTGCAGGAAATAAAGTCAGTGCAAGAGTCCCCTACTCCAGGTGTTATAGAACTAATCAAGAAGTGAACAAGTCTTGAAGGGAAAAAAATGCAGTTTGTGGAAAGTACTATTACATGGGTACCTTGGGGCTTAATGGGCTTCTGTACACACTTGCTGAACACTTCTACACCTCTATTATGGTTTTAAGAGCTCTGTTATCAGTGATAAATCATGTATCTATTTGTCACTTACCTATAGTATTATCTGGCCCTTTAGATTTTGTATATGACAAAAAGGCAGCTAGAAAAAAAATAGATGATAAAAGCTCTGCTCTGCCCACAACTCCAGTTACCTGAAAAGTAAAAGAAGAAAAAACAAAATTATCCTTAAATATTTAACGTTATTATTTGTTTATATATTATCAGTTATATATAATTTAGACATTATTAGATATTTGTTATTATATATTACATAGAGCTGGCAGATCTTTAAGGAAGTCTTCCACAGAGTGCAGGAGTTAGCAAACCCCAGGAGCAAGAAATTAGACACAGAAAGCAAGACATGGCTGAGTAGGGACCTGCTGCAAATGCACAGGCAGTGAAGAAAAGGACAGGTAACCTGGGAAGAGTACAGGGACAAAGTTCGTTTATGCAGGGATGGCAAGGGAGACAAGGAATAATGAGAAGGGTTTCCACAGCCCTCACCAGAAAGGGAAGGTCAAAGAAGGTGTATCCCCTGATAAATGATGCTGGAAAACTGGTAACCACAGATGAATAGAAGGCTGAGGTACTTAACATTTTCTGCCTCAGTCTTCAATGCCAAATCCTCTTCCCACAGCTTTCAAGGGGATGGACAGCAGGATGGGGAGTGGGAGAGAAAAGTGCTTCCTGCTGTAAGTGAGGCACTGCAACAGTCTGCCCAGAGAAGTTGTGGATGCCCCGTTCCTGGAAGTACTCAAGGCCAGACTGGATGGGGCTCTGAGCACCTGGTGTAGAGGAATGTGTCCCTGGGGGGTTGGAACTAGGTATCTTTAAGGTCCCTTCCAACCCAAACCACTCTATGATTCTATTCTTCTAGCTACTATTCTAGTACTAGAATAGTGCATGAGTGATATATTACCAGGATATGAACAAACAAGATCGGCAAACCAAACAAAAAAATGCTCAGAACAGTAAGGCTGCTTTCAGTTTGATCAGTAGTGAATTCAAGAACAAGAATCATACAGGTGGTTTGTAGCCAGCTGTGGCTGATATCTCTGATACCACCACTAAAGAGACAACTGAAAAATGCAGTACTTTCTCTTAACTTTAGCCCAAATAGGATGCAAGGCAGAACTGGGGTATGATAACAACTGCTGTCTTCGTAATGCTTGGATAGAATTAGCTTTCATAAATAGGAGTTCTAAGAGAAGTCCCACAAGGACTATTATACACACACATCCTGCAGACACTGGCATACAGAAATTAATATTGCTATTTTTATTCATACCTTTCTGATTGACTGAACAGATCTGAATCTGAAAGCAGCATTCCCTTGACCTGTGCTATGGCAGCTCTTAGGTGAGCAGTCAACAGTTACAAATAAACTGATGGAAAGCACAGTGCAATAGAGTTAAAAATGACTCAGGCTTTACTACAGGTCTTGCAATTTTCTGAATGACAATTTAGTTGAACATATGAAAACTGTAGGTAGCACCTCCTTTGGTAATGAGACAGGGAGGAACGGATTTCATGAACATGTGGAGAAGTGCTAAAATGCAGAGGGCAGGTTGTTTCAGACTCTCCAGTTTCCATCTCAGGAACTGCTTGCAAAAAATGCTAAGATGAAACCAATAGCCAGAGATGGAAGACAGGTCACTGTGTTAATTGTTACTGCAGTAGCCACTGTGTTGACCAGAGTACCATCGAGGACTTTTTTCCTCACTTGTCCTCTTCTGTAATGCCCCTGCTTCCAAATCTTTGCAAGTAAGATGGCTGAGAAATGGCATGCTATCCTGAGGTAGATGGTCATATTTAACTATGGAAACCTCACAGCTCACAATTTAATTATGATGATGCTGAAAACTGACTTTCTGCCATTTGGATCCAGCAAGAACTTTTTATTACTAGGTACATTCTTGGTCAAGTATGATTGATCCAGCACAAGAAGAGAAAGTAACTCAATATCCAAGGTCACAGTGTAAAGAAAACCATTCAAATCTGAGTCTGAAATCATACTCCAATGCTTCCATTGGGAGTAGCATACGTCTACCAAAGGACTCACTGAATCACACACACACACACAAAGCATGTTTCACAACTCTCATGACACCAGAGTTTATGTTAACATTTTGAATAGTATACAGGTGTTTGTTGCCAAAATATCTTTAGATGTTTCAAGGATTCCTGATCTGGATTTCAAAATTGTCCAGACATTAAAGAGAATTTTATCTGTAGATCAGTTGAAAGAGATCATTAGTAAAGCAAGTGTGCTGGTGTGCCTTCACAGTATCCTGCCAACAAAAGAGGGATTCTATTTCTGGAATCAAAGGTGAGTTATGAGAGAAAATGCCAGCATTCACAAGGTTAGTCGACATCCTGTAGCTATAAAGGTGGTCAACAAGCTTCTGGCCAGAAGAGTAGCAAAACAGCTAGAAAGACTGAACTGGAATTCTAAAGACAAGGACAAATGAAACTATCATGCTATTCAACTCATTTCCTCAAAACCTCTTCCTGAAAAACACAGATAGTACTACCACAAGAGCCCAGCTTCCCTCTGAAGTCAAGCAGAAATTTATTTTCAATTTATCCTGCTCTGCAAACTTTTCCAGGAAAAAATCTGTTTATCCTAAGATGCGCAAGTGGTTGAAATATTTATGTATTGCATCTCCTTTTTCAAACTCTTGTGCAGGTAACTAGTAAGTAAGAGATTAATTCGAAGGAACTAAACCCAGATATATTTCCTTTATAAAAGATACAAAAGGTGCCATCAAATGATATAAAATGTGCAAGTGAGATCTGTTTTGGAGTTTTACTAAAGCCTGAATAAGTCAGTTGGCACCCAAATCCCCAGTCCTAACATAGATCTCATTATCACCTCCTCTTTTCCATGTATGGAAACTTCCAGTTGTTCTGTCTTTTATACATCTGCACAAGTCTCAACTGCCAACACTACAAATTCTTTCTTGATTGCATACTAGGCAGAATTCTCAATGTAAACACATGAAAGGATAAAATGCACTATTTCTCAGAAGTAGAGACCTTAATTTGATAAAAGTGAGGGTAGGAAGAAGAAAACCCCTTAACCGATTATTCACCGAGTACTTAGGTACAACAGCAGGGGAATTCAACTACAATAGCACTCAAGTTTCCAAGTGTTTCAAGCGCAGCACCAAGTTCTACCGGTCACAGTGTTACAGTGCCCTCATGTGGCTGATCCCAGAGTTTACACACCTATTGCCAAATTGCTTCCTACCTGCACTTCATAACTATGTAACAATTAGACTACGTTACACAACGTGTTGTAGGATTTGTACAATACTTTTTCCTAACTCTGATGCATCGTACTAAATGCAACTCTGTTACTTGTTATTTCAGACAGAATTTGACAATTCAAGCATGACAAAGGATCATCGTATTTGGAATGAAAGTGAGGAAATTCCATTGGCTGATCTAAGCCATGAGCCACCAATGTAAGCCACTAGCAACTTGCCAATGCTCCTGTAAAGCTACTATCACATTTACTACAAAGACGTGAAGCCAAGCTTGGAAATATAAAGCATGTTTTTTCAGAAAACAAAAAAACCTCAAAGGAAAGAAACAATTTTTAACATGATTTTAACCAAGGTTTTACAGGTACTCATTCTATGGAGCAAGCACAAATTTTTGGGTGCTTAACTTCTGCATTTTTAAAAATTCCACTAACTTCTACCAAGGATATCTTAGTAGGTCAAATAGCAGCCAATTTTAAACTCTGTAAACTCAGTTCCTATAAAGATTTGCTCAAAATACATGGATGCAGGCTTCTGAAGTGTTACTGACAAGGACTTGTGTTGCCAGTCAGTAAGAGAGAGATGCATACTCTTTACCCAACAAATCAGGCTGAGAAAATACTACAGCATAAAGTAAGATCAAACTCCTCTCATTTTCTTAACATCAAAAGACATCATCCCCCCAAAAAACCCTACACCACACACAAAAAAGAGATAACACCTCCGAAGAATCAAAAGATTCAAAGATTTTCAGTTTTCTGAAAAGCAGCTAATACTGTAAGCTAAAAAAGAGACTGAGAAAGGGCTTTGCAACACCTGTGAACTGGAATCTAGGAAAGCCAATTGAAGTGGTACAGAAATAAAAGGAGAAAATGCCACAAATATGCTTTATCAGTGTTTCTGATGGAAACAAATCTAATAAATGGTGATCGAAACACCTCATTTACTCCATAACATTGCAAGCCTGGTTGGCAATTAAAAAGTATATAATCACAGAGCTTGTACAAATAAAGCTTTTCATAGCAGAGAAAAATTCATTCAGGATCAAATGAAATGGAAATATCAAAGGAAATAAATGTACTTCTTCTTCCTCATATTGTGTATGTCAAAAAATGGAAGGTTGAGACAGAATGGCCCTAAGCTGGATGTATTACAGCAACAACAATCCTAGAAAAAGTCCCACGGAGACAGATATATTGACATAAAGAAAGTAGAGAGAATAGTCTTGATGATTAGCTAAAGGGGAATGCTTATTGATTCTGAAAATGAATTAAGATGCATTCATAGTATTTGCAAAATCGGATACTGAATGAATCATTACAGAACACAAATGTCTAGGCTAAAGTAGCCATCATCATAAAAGCCAATGTTCATACCAGAGACCTAGGTTATTTAATAACTAAAGCAATGTTTAAGTATTTTTCAGCATGTAATATGAAACAACTCTGAGTACTGAAATTTGTAACTTCCACCACTCACTGCAAAGGGAAGAGTAAGTAAAAGTAAACCTCACAATTTTTAGAGTTACAATATATATAAGCAGATACAAACTCCACAAAGTTTAATTAACACAGCTTGAACAAATTAAGCACATCACAGCTATACCTACCGCTTCAGTATGTATTGGGTGCACTGCAAAGAGCAAGGATGCAACCAGGCTGCTCCTGTTGTCCAGAAAGAGCTTACAGACCTTGAGGAAGACTATACAAGCCGCCACATGAAAGACCAGATTTAGGAAGTGGTAAGAAACTGCATTTAACTCGCTGAACAAGTAGTTAAAGCGAAATGTAAGAACTGTAAGGGGACGGTAAGATTTATGACTCCTCTCCTAAAAAGAAAATAAATACATCAATCAGTCACTGCCAACTTACAAAGGGATGTTCACTTCAAAATACAAAAACCTACGTGTACATGACTCCCCCTCTATTCTCAGGCATCTACCTTAAAAGTAAAATTTGAAAATCAGTAACAGTAACAAAAATAAAATATCTAGTTAAATAAAAACTTGCTTTAAAATTAAAATGTTAAATAGAAAAGTTAATTCTGACTATTTTTCCTACTTCCACATCATTTTAACGTATTATTCAAGCATTTTAATTACTCTGCCATTTCATGTTTTAGATCATTATTTTATACATATGTGGTGTGCTCAGCTAAATGCATTATCTACATATTTTCAGTATGTCTAGCAGGCAATATGTCTATGTTGCCAGTTACTCCATCCAAACCCCCTTTTAAACACTAGATTTAACACCATTTTTGTGTTCCACATACATTTATCAACCCACAGCCTGATGATATTTTGATGAATATGTCTGTAAAACAAAGGAAGAAAATACAAGAAAAAGGGGAGGTGGGGAGGGCAATGGAAAGAAAGGGAACCATATTGCAGAGGCAGACAAAACTACGAGATAGGGAAAGTATTCTAAAAGCCATGAACTTAATCTGATTTCATTTAGTTAACTTAACCTGACTTTCAGTTGGTTCTAAGTGCAAAGTCACCACTGAATGAGATAGCCTTTTTTCCATTATACATGGTCAGGGATTTTTTTGGAGTAAAAACATGCGGAAAAAAACTACTTGAAACTTTACCAGGAGAGTTCTGGAGTCCAATTAAACCTCAATGAACACAGGACTAAATGGCATCTGAAGGAGAGTCTAGAAGCTTTTGTTTCAGGGTTATATAAAAATTACGTATCAAAGTCTACTTGAGAGCTAGCAATTAATATCTCACAACGAACTACCCATGTATGTTATGGACGTAAGAAAGGATTATATGTGGAATGCCTTGATAGGCAGAAAACCTACGACTGTCAGAGAATTTTTATTCATTTGCTCAGCAATGACATCATGTACAACTTTTAAAACTGTATCTAAATCCTTCAGCCATTGCCATTTAATGATGCTTGTCAACAACTTTAATGCGAATGTACTCCAAGTGGGCTACAAACCAGAAGCTCAAATAAATTTAAAGGATTCAATATCCATTCTCGAAGTCCAAGCTTTGTTGTTTAAGTGTTATCTTTCCTTGCAGACTGTGTTTTGAAATAAATACCCTTGTATGTCAATGTCAAACATTGGCAGAAGAGAAACCGTCAGAGTTGTTCAATTTTGTTATTGGATTCAGATAGCACACAGCATCTTGCAGCTGTGTGCTAGCTATACAACTTCATTTACTTACCAGTTCTTTCACGGAACAAAGGGGAAAAGAAAAGCAACAGGCCTCCCTGATATTATAGTATAAAATGCTAACACCACCAAACTGCATCAAATCCAAACTATTCTGTTAAAACCACGTTAGGGAAAAGAAGTATAAAAACACTCTGCAAGATTTTTCCATTTCCTAAATGGTTCAAAGTGTTTCACAAACAGTTTACCTCAGACATTGGAGTGCCCCAAAAGTCATTCTGAAACAGATTTTTTAACGGAGTAGACGGATGCAAATCTTTATTGTCCAAAATTGCTGAAACATCATCGAAAACAAAGCCACAAAAGAGACTGTTCCAGTAGCAGGCTGCCACCACACCAACTATTAGTGCTGCTTCCTTCAGGCTTACATCAGCCATCTTCTCTCTAAAGAGTTTTCATGGACAAAAGCTAAAATACATGGACAGAAACTGATTAAAAACTGATTAAAAACTAAAATTGATAAATAAAGTCAAAATACGACATCCAGTATTTTAGATGTTAATGACACTACATATCTAAAACCCAGTAAGATAGAAAGCATTCCTACATGTTACAATGAAAAAAATTTAGCGTTTAAAAGAAATAATCTCATTAGAAAGCCTCACCCTTAAAAAGCCCTTACACAAGATAGATGCACTGCTACATTTCATGTTCTGCTAAAAACAAGTACTGATACTAATTTCTGATGTAGTTTTTAGCAGACAGCTATGTAGTTCAAGCGAATGCTGCAAACTGAAGAACTATGAAAATTAACATATGATACAAAATGTCAAGTTATCAAAGAGGCAGATAGTGTGTTAATTATTTATAGGGTTTAGGTTTGCAGGTGCTTCTCAAAATATTTCAAAAGCAATTTAAACAAAACCAAATACCATTCTGAAGAACAAACAGGAAACTTCAAGAACTTTGTAAATATAGGTGTCCAAGAACAGGTAGAGGACATTAATAATAATAAAAAGTCAAACATTTGCATTCTTCACAGAAGTTCATGAAAAGGTAATTTTTTTTCCTTAACTCTGCCAATTGCTCTGCTGCCACTTACTGTTCATGAGTTCTGTCTAAAGAAAAGATACTACAAATGAACTTATTCTTAGATAATTTTCTCTGATCTTTCACAAACTTCCTAAGCCCTAAAAGTTATTAATCAGCAGTTTTATGATTATTTTAAAAATACTATATGGGTGACCTGATCAAAAGGTGAAAATACTATGTATTGGACTGTTTAAAGACACTGTTCTTCCTTGGAAGAATAATAAGATAACTAGAGGTCAAAGGCATTCTTTCTGACCACTAGTTGACACAGCATGGATCACTGCCAACTCTTGGGACCAAAGATATTAGAAAACTAGACAGTTGAACACTGGTTTCATTTTGAGAAAAAGGAGAGATGACTAAACCAAAATATTCTCCCCCAAACTAGAGAGGTATAACATCTGTACGGACACAGAACAGCCAATATTAGCCAGATAATGTGGACCCATAAATATGTAAAAGCATCATAGTTCACATCAAAGCTGATGAGTTACATGAAAATTACAGACTGTTTTGTTGTCCTAAACCCTGAAATCCTGATGATACTTTTCTTCCTTCAGTTTTTTAGGGGTTTATTTAATTGTGTTCAGATTTATTATAGAGTATGCTGAGTTGTAAAGGACCCACAAGGGATCACTGAGTCCAACTCCTGGCACTGAATCACACAGTGTGCCTGAGAGCATTGTCCAAACGCTTCTTCAACTCTAAAAACAGGGCAGAGAGAACCCATCCCATAGGTGATCTCAGTTGTGGTTTGCAGCCTGGATGTGAGAGCATGCAAATCACCTATCACAATTACTGGTAAAGGAGCAGTGGCACGGGAAGGAATATACGTGCAACAAGACGCAGGCGAAGTTAAACTAAAAATCAGGACACGCACCATTCAAAAGGAATCAAACCAATCCATTCAAAGTTACTCACATAATGACAGGGAAGGGCTTTTTTTACTTTTGCAGTACTTGATGCACTGGCTATTGGTGCTACTTCAGCCAAGAAAGTCTTTATTCAAACCTGCCACCACCTTTGCAATAAAAAAAATACTAATTAAAAACAAGTAAAATAACCCAGCTCAAACCAGCACAACACTGCTACACCTTCTTGGCAGGCTTACAGTACTTTAAAACACTAAGCCAAGATTATATCTGAACATATTCATGGTCTTCATGGCAGCCAGAGAAATGTTACCAAAAAGAGAAAACAAAGCATAATGCAGAAATAATTGAAAAGAAAGCCCACATTTGAACTTCAACTCAATCAAGCTTTTTAGTTCCCCCTTCAAAGGAGGTGGATAAGAAACTGATGTTTTGCACTCTGCTAGGAAGAATTTGAAATTCCTTTTTTGCAGTAGCTTCTGAACAGTGCAATTCTTACTTCCTGAAGTTCACTAATTCTACTGAAAAGCAGTGACATCTGAAAAGGACCTACAACGAACATGTCGTGATTTTCCAACATATAAGCCTTTATTCTTTTAATTACTGTGACAAGATAATATTGCCATGCAGAACCAACCATAAGATTTATTTAAAATCATCTTTTAAGAAAAAGCATTATAAGGTGAGTAGGTTTTTGGTGACTTGAGTTATTAACAGAGTCAATTTACTGTGTTGGTTGAAGCAGCAAGCTCTTGCAGTTACCTGCTTTGCGTATCAAAGAGAAATTGAGGTAACATCACTGTTTCAGAAACAGCTACTGGCACCCAACTAGCAATAAACAACATTGATTCCTAAGTATTGCCTCAGATCAAAAGGAAGAGCTTAACCAACTTTAATTATAACCTCCTTCAACTACTTTTTGTAGGTTTACAATTTTCCCCACACAGAACACGTGTCAAGACAGCTACTTTACTTATCCCTCAATCCTAAGCAATGCTTTCACAAGCCTTTCTTTTTCCTCTGAATTTCTAGTATTTCTTCCACTCAGAACCCTTAATTTTACACCACTACTCACCACGCTGTTCCCTGACAGCTACATTTATCTACATGCCAGCTGTGGGAAAAAATACTGGTTTTGTTTGAATGAAAGCAACTGTTAGGCTAAATAAATTCCAATTTTAGCTAAATCCAAAGCCACGTTTAAGTGGCTAGCCCACCATTAAAGAAATCTGTTAGAGAACTCCAGAAAAAAAATCAATCAATCTTCAACACCACAATTTTTTAATTTGCAATTTGCCTTCTCCTTCACACGCACATTTCAATCACAGCTATGACTGCAACTACATGCAAATAAATGGCTATAATTTGGTCTTTCAAGACAAGTATTTGAGCCACAGACACTCTGGGCAATTCTAAAGAGTTTACTAAATTTACTGTAAGGAATGAATATGTGCAACAAAATGCATTGTTCTGGTTTTAGCGGCAAGTCACACAAAATACAGCTTGAACTGTGTCAAGCTTGGTAACATCAAAACTATCACACCACAACCCTCACAAATCTTTGTTGTGTGCAAAAGCACTAGGCCTTGACAACACAGAGGCATAATGGAAACCTGGAAGAGCCCCCATTTTTGAGGAATTTGCTTCCAAGGCAAGCACAAAGAGAAAAATGGAGAATGCAAGGCCATGTACAACACGCAGTTTGCACAAAACTGTAGCACAGTCTACTTCTGACTTAAATTCTGACAATCTAATGTCGTATTTTCCTGAAATGTACTCTAAAGATACATAGAGTTACAAAAACTGATTTTTCCCCCTGCCTGGTATGATTACAGGGTACTTTAAATGTTCTTGCTGAATTAAAGCATAAATATGGAAAAGATGCTTTTGCAGTCCTTTATGTTAAGCCTAACAACACAGATTTTGAGGAAGTCACACCACAACTTCCTATCCGCTATGATAGCTGAGTGCACCACCACACTCCAAGCTTCAAACTTGGAATGACCATCAGCATGTTGAGAATGCAACACTAAAACAGAGGGAGGCTTATAAAAGCTCATCTGTACTTGGTAAGCCACGCACAAGTATGCCTGCCATTAATCTCCGTGGAAAACAGTAATTGCTACTTGGCAACCAACACACTTTTCATGCCAACTAATCTGTTATCAGTTTGATGCTGGAAAGCAAGAAGCCATGTAAGGAGTACACAAGACTGAGAACCTCATAAATCACAAATGTGCAAGAGGCTGCTGAAGGCTTGGTATGACTGAGCTCCTCAAATGAGTGGATATATTCCACTTCTTACCCAATACACACGTTGATCAATGCAAGTATGTGCTTGCAAGTGCCAGTACTTCACCACTCCCAGCCATGGAGGTGTTGCCATTTGCTTAGCATTAGTAGTAGTCATGCTAAGGCTTCCCTAGGCCTGAGTATAAACTTTCTATGAACCTAAGGTAAAAGTCTGTCATTGTGGTGTAAGCTGTTTTGCAAGGAAGATGTAGCCTCCTGCAGGGATAGGTTATCTATGGAAAGTACCTCCTTATCTAAAGAATGTACCTTGTTAGCAGAGCCCAAATGGTAAGGTGTATATGGTAATTCTCAAGTATACTTGAAAGTGGTTAAACTGTCACTAGCTTAGGTGAAACAGGAAACTGTTTTGATGTGGTAATCAAGTAAGAAACATATATAAACCCTGTGAATTGTCTGTGACTTCGGGCTCTGACTTTGGACGCTAGTCCGCAGGCTCCGGGCCCCCAATAAAGCACCGCATAAAACAGCTCCGGTTGTTTTGTGTTCTCTTCGGAACGGGCAACAGAGGTATTAACAAATGCTTATAAAATGGTGCCTAACAACTTCCTTGAAAAAACAGACTTGTGAGGGAGAGCCACATCACTGTCTGCCTCTACACATGTGAAAAAAAGACTGACAACCCCCTAAGCTGCTTTTTCATCTCACCTATCTGCTACTTTCACAGCTTCTAAGACTGACTGCCCATCAGATACCTTAACCAACCCTTGGGGCTCTATGACTGCCAGTCTATTTCACAGCCACAGAGCCACCTTTTGACTGGATGAAATCAGGACACACACATACTTTATTACAAAGACTTCTGTTGAATGTTTTAATTTACAACAGTATCTGACTGTGTCATAAAGAATATACAGCTGAAAACAATAAACAGCAAGATAAGCCTTCTGAGTCAGAAACTGCATAGACATGAGAGCCAAGAGTGGAAAAAAGAATACCCACGCTGTGCAAAACACCTGACTGTTAAGTCTAAATTTCTCAAGCTGTTTGGCAGAGAAACCTGCAGTTTGCACTGCTCTGCTTTCACATTTGTACAGAGACATTAAATGGAAAGGAGAGAGGAGAACCAGAATTCTGAAGGTGGTTTCACTTGTAAGGTATGCAGTTTTCCTCCAACAATTTCTCTTCCAGTTCATCCAGCTTCTTCTTCAAGAATTACAGAC